GGGGTCAGACAGCACCGAGACCAGCATTCAGCCTGTTCACTGATAACAAAATAATCACAGTTATATACAATTACAGTACACAATTATATATTTATCAGTCCAAGCAGCGTTAGCTGCTTGATTCCTATACTTTTTATGTTTTTTCTCCCCAAAAATCTGAACTCAAAGTAAATGCATTAGAGGTGTTAAATGGCAAATTAAATTCCGGCGACTCTGTTGTGATGGGAAAATTAAACTGAATTGCATTTTTTAAATATTATCTCATAAAAACAATTACATATATATAGACACATTAAATAAAAAATATATAAATATGTACACACAATATATTAATCTATTTGCTTTCTATCTATCTATCTATCTATCTATCTATCTATCTATCTATCTATCTATCTATCTATCTGCACATGCATGTAAACTGCTCATATGTACCTAGTCTTATAGTTATTTAGTTATTATATAACCTGTATTTTGCAAGTCTTCTTTTTTTCAAAAGTTCTCTCTGGCTTAAAGCAGAGAAACAGCCATCAGACAGGTAGCACAGTGCTCAGGTGACATCCCCCCCCCCCAATAAGCAGGACATGGTTCGCGGTTCCTCTCGCCATCCTCCCCAATGGCGCGGTGAAGCCAGCCAGTAAACGGGCTGTGGTCTGTTACCTCTGCACAGCGTGGGCCAAGCCACCATCATAACAGAAAGTGTTCATACACATATGTGTGTTTATGTGTATATATATGTGTGTGTGTGTGTGTGTGTGTGTGTTTATATATATATATGTGCTAAGGCAGCCATGCAGAAAGGCCGGAGCAGTGATCAGAGCCCCTTGCACCTTTATTCTGTGCCATTCACATTGAAATGCAAATATCAAGGCAGGGTTTCCGCCCGTGTGCCACTCACAAATTGAAAAGCAGTTTTTATCTATGCAAATGTAAGCATGGTAATTGAAGTTAATCAATCAATGCTAGCTTTCACTAAAACCTTGAACATGATTGAATAAAGTAATTATCATTCAGCAGAAAATGATGAAGTTGTAGACAGCATGAACCTTATTAAAGGAGGATTTTGAGTCACAATGGCTTAATTTAGCCAGCAGTCTCTCTCTCTCTCTCTCTCCCTCTCTTTCTCTCTCTCTGTCTTTCTCTCTGCTCAGGCTGAGCGAGGCATCACCCGCACCTCAAACTGTATTACAGAAGCACCCGGACTTGTGTTCCTGATTTGCCCCTTTTACGTTACACACACACATGCACACACACACACACACACACACACCTCAAAACCCCTGCTCTTTCATTAAGGCATTTACAATTTCTTATGTGCACGCTTAAGCTTTCCTTTGATGTCACCAAGTAGTTATAAGGTGAGACGCTTGGTTCATGTGCCATTTAAGAACAAAGGCTAAGCAAAGTCATTAAGTAATTAAAAGTAATTAAGGATTCTCAATGGAAATTGCAATAACTTTTGCTCACCTTGAATGGATTAGGAACTAAATATTATCAACTAGAGGAAACGTTTGTGGTCATTCTGCCCTAAAAACCCACCCTGATGTTAATTTTCACAAAAAGCTATGCTAACCTCTTCATCGACTCCACCTCCAAAATTTAACGGGCAGCCACACCCCCTGCCACTGTCTCAACTACTGCAGGAAATGCATGGCTCCCTCATGGTGCTAAAGAGAGGCTTTTGGTTAGAACATTCATGGAGACACAAGACTGTCTTTTTCCTCTAGGGCGGTGTCACGTCAAATTGTGGAGGGGTTAGATCCACCAAATATTTATTTTGAGTGACTTTTAAGCAGCCAATATACCATGTTCACCCCTAGAATATGTAACTAACCCTTTACAATCCCCAAAGCTTATCAAGACTAAAGCTTCTTTAAATCTTACGTGATGTACTTGTACTTTAAGGGTAAAAGAACACTGTCACATGAGGTGGTGGAGAAAAGAGAAAAAAAAAACAGACATGTCAACCATTTTAGGATGAAGGGTTTTTCCCAGCATGCACCTGTCAGCGGTACCTCCCGTAATTGAGCCTTCCGATGTCCTGCAAGTAGGCTACCTGACTCCTGGTCTTAGGCTCATCTCTCCATTGCCGGGGTAGTTAAAGGCTTCTCCGGTTTGTCACAGAGTTTAATATGCACCCTACATAATTATGCAGGATTCACAGTGCTATCAAACTGCAATTCAAATTAGTTCAGGATTAAAGGCACAGAACAGTACTGGTTCCTTAATTGCATTGTACTGTGCTGATCACATTCAAATACCCATTACTCATTCCCTCTGTGGAGCAATAAGTCAGGAGGATTAATACTGAGGCAGGTGACAGGGCCAAGCCATTAAAAGGCCGTTATGCAGAAAGCATGGCTGGTTTTATTCACGTTAATGAAATCAGCGAAATGAAACTGTAATAGATTTATCAAAGCTCAGATGGATTTGCAGTAAATCAGTTTGATTCAGGCAATCAAACTGGACAATAGAGATAGTTTTCAGCGACACCAGTGGATGTCAGGACGCGCCATGTGAGCGGTGCTGATATTCTTCTTGCGAGGATTTGGTGAGCACCCAGCATCCCGGCCGTATTCCCAGAACGCCAACGCTAATTTCTGTCAGCTAAGCAGTGCCAGTGACTGATAAAACATACAGCCTTCTGTTTAAGCGCCATATTCCTCTGTCTTCCCACTCTCTCGTCCTCCCTCGTCAATTTCCTCCTTCCGTCTCTCTCTCTCTCTTTCTCTCTCTCTCTCCATCTCTCCCCCCCCCCCATCCTTTTGTGAGCTCACCCGAGTTTCAATTGCACACGAATTAGCGTCAAAGTAGCACAAGTTACTATCGCTGGCATCAGCCCCTGGGATTATTGACATGCTGCTACTCTCCTACCCCTGGCTTGAGCTGGCATGGACGGCATTCTTTATGACCACACGGTGACTCCCGTGCCCATTAGAGGGCGCTAATAGTACCCAACAGGATCCACGAAAGATAGGCTGAAGATACCGGATGAAAGTTTACATATGTTTGTGACTGTTAAATGTTTATCTTATATTTTAGCAAATAACAGCTCGTAATAAATAGAAAAGTATGGAAAGTACATCAGTTGCGCTCCGTGTTTAAAACAATCATCAGTAAATATTGAACATCATTAACTGGAAGCTGTACCGCATAAGTGGATGAAAGATGGATGGATGGATTAACTGGGGAAGCAGATTAGGGACTTACAACTCGAAGGCAGCTAGTTGAAGTTTAAGTAGGGGCTTTGCTATGGTACACATGCAAAATATTTCACACAAATTTCTATCAATAAAGGATATGGCTGCAAAACTAAGGTTTGCTTTGGATAACTGCATCAGCAAAGCAATTGAGAGCCCTGTCTCTACATCACCTCAGTGTAACTTTGGGGACACAAGAGTGATTTTGAAAAACAACTGGAAGAGCATTGAACTGAGTACATAAACTTGCTAGATTCATTGCAGATAATCGATTACTCTTTTGCAGAGTAGAGTTCATCTTAATATTATGAACGTCATTACACACAACTAATTTAAAAAGAAAATGTATACTGCTGCACAGTATCTTTTATTCAAATGCTCAGATTGTAGTATCAATTCCAATTATAACCAATTAACCTCAAAGAAAAGCACCATGTCCAGGTTTTCTCTTAACATTTAATGGTCCATTGCCACGTCAGCCATTGGCTGGACTGGATGAACCTGGAACAGCCACACGGAAAAGCATATACACTGTTAGTGATAATACAATAACCTGGCACATTATCCAGTGCAAAGCTTATTTTGATCTTATTAATGGGCTACATCGATTTCGGTACTGGACTCCTACAAGGACAACTTTATGGTTCATTGAGATTTTAGCCCCATTTGAAAGGTATAACTAAAGGTATAAGTATTGAAATTGTCCCATTAATGAAGCCTCATTAGGCTCTCGTTTCAAAACATGTGGCTCCCCGGGAATTGGAGATGGTCAGTGCGCACAATCCTGCATGTTAGAGACCTTGATTGACTTAAGCGATAAACCAGAATCAGATTGACTCTTGGTACCATCCAACATCTCTAACATAAGCTTCAAGCCTATGTGAAATGTAGGGTGGCGTGACTGCAAATTATACGCAAGGTTTTTATTCTTTTTCAGAAAATGTAATTGGCTACTTTCTCCTCCAAGGATTCCCAAGAGATTTGCAGCTGAGAAAAAATTCTTTTGCTCTGTATTAGTCAACCATTTAACACATATTTAAGTAAGATTTGTATCGCTGGGCTTTTCCATAAGTCTGCCCAAAGCACTTATGGTTAGTACTAAGAAGACAACGTGTTCAGTTATTCACGAAGAATAAGTTGGTTTTGCACGAATCAAAGCTAGTATTCATTACAGTTTTAGAAATTGTAAAACTTGCAGTTTTATTTACATGACAGATGCCCCTAATGAAAATTCAAATGAATGTAGCTCACATGTAACATAGTGAATAAAGTTTTGCTTGTTATTTTGAATACGATTTTGTAAAACTGTTTTTAAAATTCCTTATTGCTATTGGACGAATAAGCCTTTAAACCTCTTGCCTATTTTTTGAGCAAATTTCATGCCTAGCTGGTGCTACCATAAATGATTATAATAAAGTATACCAAGAATACACTCAGATTTTAAGATTCTAGGATTTTAAAGTGGGGTAGAAAAAGTAAAATAAAAAATGCATTACTTTTAGTATGTGTGAAGTTTTTATAAATTTTAGAGTGAAATTATCAATGCTACTTCAGCGCCAAGTGCACACATTTCCTACTGCAGTGTGTGGCTTGGTGCAGCGCTTACATAGGAAGCGAGTAACTCCGCTGATTGATTCGCCCAAGAGTTGAGTTCAGCTGCAATATCCCAAACGACTCTCCCCTAATCAACCTTTAAATTCAATATGTCTTGTGCGAAGGCCGACAACTGCAGTCTTTTCACAATTGCATTTAAATGAAGATGAATTACGCAAAATAGCGGACAAAGAATTACACACGGACGCATTTTGAACACACAAAACAGTTTTTTCATTCATAATCATTCCAGGAACAAACATATGAAATCTTAGCTTTGAAAGAGTGCAAGACAATAATTAAGTTATTTATAGGTACTGTGAAATTAAGCATGCTTAAAAGCTGGGGCCTGTATAGTTTAATCAGTCATATTGATTCATGTTTTCAATTCATACTAGATCTGAAAGCAAGGCACATTAAATACATTCTCTTATTACTCTATAAATGCAAGCGACCCACCCGGCAAACCAGAAGCAATAAATTAATAGTAATAAAAATACCAACCGCACAGACAGATCCAGAAATTAAAAGCCTGCTTCAAATACAATAGTTAATCCCATTCTGCATAATAAAATCAGCGAGCACAATAACACTTCCAAGAACCAATCACGTAACACTTTCTATGCGAGTCTTTGGAATATTTAAGCATGCTTATTATAGGGCTGTATTTCGTTTGACATTTAAGCACACTAATTGAATAAATATCTTGCATATATAGAAACCAGTATGTATAAACAATAAAATAAAAATACAAAATTGGCAGAAAATAAAAAACACCCTGACATTGAATGAACAGAGCAACAATACATTGTGTGCATTATTAATTTTTTTTCTGAAAGTTCGACAGACAATATGCACATTCCAATATGCAACAGTACAAAATCGAATAAAATCTATATCGTGCCGTATATTGTAAGACACCTTCCTGTGCTATAATACCCGTTGCAAGCAGCTGCTTTAAATGAAACGGGTAATAATACTTGCTTTCATTTTACAAAAGTTGCTGGAGTGTAAAATGGCACAGGAGTACAGTACACTGGTTTAGAGGGAAAAAAATAAGTATGCTTTAGAAACATTGAAATGCATTCCTTTTAAAGCAACATTGGAATTTTAACACTACACTCACTTTTATTTAGACATGAGAACCGCCTCGAAGAAACATAATTGCCAAAATACAATAACATACAAAAGTACAAAAAATATTCCGGTGCAAGGCGTTCATATCATATTAGGACAGAAACTCATTTAGTATAAAAGTACACAGTGTTAGACAGCCGTTAGACGCGAGTGGAGCAGGTGACTGAGGGACTGAGTAGGGGACTGAGTAGGGTTGTAACACAGCAGAAGCTGGTGTTGCTCAGCCGCCGGGACTCACACACCTCCGCCACTCCTGTCCACGGAGACGGGCTCCCGCTGCTCCAGGCTCTCCTCCACGGTCTTCATAAGGATGGCCAGCCGGCTGTCGGAGACCTGACCCTTCTGTACAGCACTCATCAGCTGGAAGAGTAACAGCACAGCCGGACGTGCCAGCCATGGCGTACAATGTTGATAGACATGCCGAGGAGTAACTTGAAACAAACAATAACATTTTTAGAATGGGACTGTCCCCTTCTTCATCACATGTGGTGGACTGCCATTCTGTCCAGAGTGTCCCCTGCCTCTTGCCCTGTGGTGGACTGGCATCCCATCTGGGGTGTCCCCTGTCTCATGGACTGTGGTGGACTAAACAACACCGTATTCCCAGGGTGACCCCATCACTCCCCCTCCCCCATATAATCTACACCCACACCCCAAAAATCTTAATTAAATCATCTGTAAAGTATTATGTAATCAGGTTCGCCAGATCTGTCTGTGGCTGTCCTTTCATGTGCCACTGCTTTAATTCTGCTTTAATTTTGGTGCACTGTCTCAAAATTAAATTACTTACAAACCTTCTCATATACAGAATTACTGTGAAGTATGAAAAATATCTGACAAATACTATTTGAGGTATCACGCTAATGAGATCAAATGTCTGAGGTTGACTTTCACTTTGATACCAGTTTGTGGTGCTATTTTAATTTTGTTGTGATTTGTCTCAGAATTTGATCTTTTCCAGTTTGTCTCCCATATGATGTGTCTGCAAAGTCTGAAGAAGATCTGTCAAATACTTTTTGAGGTATCACACCAATAAGATCAAGTGTCTGATGCTGCCCATCTCTTTGACACCACTATGTGACACTGCTTCAATTTTAGTGCGATTTGTCTCAAAATTTGATGAGTTGCAGATCTTCATCCATACAATGTGACTGCAAAGTTTAAAAAACATTTTGTCAGTTATCACCCTAATGAAATCAAGTGGACCAACCTCAACACCATAAGCATTTTCCAAAGAGCCAAAGAAAAACAAAAATAATTACACAATTTACATCCGTGTTACTTTAAATAAGTAGTAATGGTTACAGGAATATTTTCTTATTTTACTATTTTAAAGACATAACCATTTGTTCTCTGAGCCAGCTCACTAAAACCCACATTCTTCCACTGTTATTTCAGGTCTCTCCATACTAATTTCTTCCCTTCTCCAGTGTGGCTTTCCTGTAATCTTCAGCTCGACCCCGTACGTGTGTTAAAAGTGTGCGGGTGAGCATGGGGGTGGTGGTGGGGGGGGGGTGGTTGTCATTATCATGCCTGAGCACATCCAGCTTCCTAGCCGCTCCGGATCGAAGTCTGCCACCATCCTCGGCGAGGAAGCCCTTGTCCGTCCATAATGCAACCTGATCACCCTGCCAGTGGAGGAATTCCATTTGCCTTCCCCTTAAAATCTACACTAATGAAGATTAAATTATGTGGTTTCATTAAACCCCAGATTACCGGTAATCTAGTCCCTGCCGTAACATTGTAATTCCTCCACTCCTCTACTAATTATACTGCTGCACGATAGTGACTAATTTACTGCATGGAAGAAGCCCCGGACTCATTATCGAAGCTCATTGGAAAGATTTCCTCTCACTCCTCTAATTGGTTTCATCTCATGAACTCGAGCCAGGAAGGAGCACGCCAGAGTCTTGGACACCGGCGGCAGACACGCTCATAGGCGTGCCCCCGGTGGAGAGACCCGAGCCGTAATCCCGATATGGAGGCAAACGTGGGAGCACTGTAAATTTACACAAAACAGTGATACTGGGAGGTGTGTTGGTCAGATGGTGGTCGATTGATGGTGAAAACGATCAAGATCACCGGCAGGCAAAGTCATCAACGTGCAACTAACGGTCCTGGACATGAGTAAGTGGCCCCGGTGGCCCCCTGTGACCACACGTGACGTCGGCCGGTGTGGAGACTCGTGCCTGGCATGGGGCTTGTCTCGGAAGCGGCATTTCCGCCGGTCCCATCTTGTTTGTTTAACTTGACGCGGTGAAGAAAGGGCTGACATGGGCCGAAATCCCCGGCATTAATGGGACTCATGTTCTGCATTTATCATTGTCACCTCGCAGGAGCGAGCTGGCAGAGCAGACGGAGGGATGCAGGCTGGACTGGGCTGGGGGCTCCTACACCCCCCCCCCCCACCCACCAGCCATTGCCAGATAGCATCTCATATCTGAAGAGGCCTGTCAAAGGACCTCCACTTGACAAAAAGGTTCAAGTACAGCCCCCGTCCCCCCCGTCCCCCTAAGTGCCGATGAAAAGCCAACAATAACTAATAACTTTATTATTAGTTCTAATCATTTTTTTATCATCTCTATTTCAAAAATCCAACAACAAAAACAAATTCTGAGCTTAGGAAAGGATCTAGGGTTAAAAAATAATGAGCATCTAATTTCTGGATGGAAAAACCAGCAATTTAACCATTAGTCTGGAGCAGGATTGCGCAGAAGCCTGAAGCCCATCACAGGCAGCATAACTGGGGACACCCTGGATGTGATTCCAGCCCACTGCAGAGCACATACCTACATACAGTCATGTACAACAGGCAACTGAGATGCACCAATTCAACTGCAAGTCTTTGGACCACGGATGGAAACCAGTGTACGCTGAGGACGCAGCAGGCAGGAATTCGAACCCCGTCACAGGAGGTGTGAGGCAACAATGCTACCCACTGAGCCACTGGAAAATGATACCATTTATATTATATATTTGTATTATGAAAATTCGTACATGAGACACTATTCTTCAGCCTGACAGGCGACACATACCTGCAAGAATTCATTCAGTTCGATCTGTCCGTTTTTGTTCAGATCGACTTCGTTGAGGATTTCATGGAGTGTGTTCTCATCAATCTGGATGCTGATGCTCTAAAGAAGAAACATGGATGGACAGGTTAACGGGGAACATCTTGGGATCTCCGGTTGCCAAGGGAAACCACGCGCATCCCTCTAAAACGGCATAACATGCCACAGTGGCAACTCTCCAAAGACTCATAGTCCATCTGGGTTTGTTGGGTCCCGTACCCCAAACCATATTTTATTCATCGTCATACTAATTTTCTACCTCTACGGAACAAAGACGGCATCTTCTCGGTTATCCCGGAAGGGGATCCGCTGCACGAGATCATATTGCTTCCCCTGAGTTTGCCTTTCGTTGCTTGAAACAATGGTACAAGTGCAAACTCAGACGATTCTCCTATTGACTCTGTGATTGGGCGAGTGTATAAACTCATAAGTTGGCGATTATAATTAGCAAAACTAGGTCCCAGATTGGGAATGCATTCGAAGCCTATAATATTTGCTGGCTGACAGGCTCAATGTCATTTTCACAGAGCTAAAAGAGGATCCCTGAAACAGAGCAGCAATATTAAAGAACAGAGAGTGAGAAGCATAACCCTCCCCGGGTGTTCTAAAGATATACAGACGAACGCCCACTGCTAATCACACACTCTCCAGTGGGAAGAACAAAGAAAAACTAGAAAATTAAACTGGAAGTCCTTACCTCTAAAACCTGCTGAACATCTACGGTGGTGATAAACCCCTTATTTTCTTTGTCGAACTTATGGAATCGCTTCTTATACCTATTGACAGAGGAATTAGACGTGAATGGCTGACCATGTACCGTTCCCACAGGAGAGCAGGTAGAGGCTTCTCACAGTGAGACGGAGCAAAGGTACAGTCTGCTTACCTGTCAACCTCGGCAGACGTTAGGGCGATTTCCGACATGTTGGTCAACTGCTCGGACTTAGCCTTGTAGCCCATCTCGTGATGCAGGAACTGCTTGGCTGCAGCAAGCTCCTCCTATTGGAGAGAGTAGAAACTTACCGAAGATCCACCAGGCAAGAACATTAACCAAATAACCAGCAAGTTGACTGGACAACCATTCTTCTTACTGTATGTAGAGGCATTCATGGTGGTGATGAACTCATTCAAAGGGAGAAGATATAGAACAGGGCTATTCAAATCATGGTCCTCAAGGGCCAAACCCTGCTGATTTTCCAGCCTTCCTTCACCTCTGAGTCAGGTGTGAAGACTCTGGCTAATCAGAATCAGTAATTAATAAATTCACTACTGAAAACAAGGCCAGGATTTGGAATTGAGGTTCAGATTTGAAGAGCCCTGATATAGACCATCTAGGAGTCTATATGATAAGGCTTTCAAGTCTTCAATTGCCCATAATTTTCTTTGTTGCTCTATTGGAGATGTCCTGCAGTAGTGACTTTTACAGATCTAGGATGGTTAAAAATGCAATAATTTTGAGGTGTGGGACAGCAAGAGAGTCATGGACTACTGTATTGCTTTATAATTACTTGACTGAACTCATGTGAACATAGTGACATCAAAGTAATGCCAGTTGACCCACTGGTGTATTTAGTCGTCAATATTTAGCTGACATAAATCGATGTCTACATACAGCCCAGCTATGAATAAACGTGCTGCGTGTGGCAGGCTGAAGCAATTCATGTCCTTTTGAGGCAAACCTCAAAGGAATAACCTCATAAAACAAACAGCACGGTGCTGGATTTTAACAACCTGCCACGGCTTTTGGTGAAAGAAACACGGGAGAGTGGTACAAGGAATCCTGCCTGGAGTATAGGAATTTTCATGGCTATTGCTAAGCTTTCCTCAGCGTAAATAGCTCATGTGTAAGAAACTTTAAAAGAGTTAGTAAATAACGTAGGATGACATTGTGGACATAGACGAAGGCGACTGATAACGAACAAAAGAGGGTCGTAAGATGGCAAGAAAGGTAGCTACCCTCTTCTTCTGCTCGCTCCACCTCAGCTGCTTCCCCATGATCTCCACGATGCGCGGTAAGGCCTCGTCGGCTGCCTGCACGTTCAGAAAGCCCAGCCGTGTGCGTCGGGCGATGACATCAATGGTCGTGCAGGCATACTCCTTGATGGCATACTGGACCTGAGGAAGGACCAGCTTTTCTGAGATATCCTTCAAATTAGCATATGCTAAAGAAGTATTTTCAACAGAATTTACAATAGTATACAGTTGGTGTGGATCTCAGAACTGATGAAAACTCATGGCGAAGTTCATAGTAGGTGCATACCTCACTCTCAATGTAAGGGAATTCAGACACAAGTCGCTTGCCCACGATTGGCCACCGTTTCCCGGTCACTTGAGCCATTTTAGCCACCTCAAAAGCTCGTCCCCCATAGGTTGCAGTCAGGTGTTTGGCCACCTGCAGGGTGAAACCATTCACCGTTGATCAAGACAGCCATGGCCGAGTGGCTAGCTAGCTCGAAACCTAAATTTTTAAAAAATTAAAAAATTAAATGTAATCATTTACATGAGATGGCTGTGTGCCTCAATTGCATGCCACGACTAAACAAAGAGGAAGTTATTTCAATTCCGATGGTTTTGTTACTTTTTCCACCAAAGGTCAAGTGCTGTCAAAAATATCAGCATACTGACCTTTTTAAACATTCCGGAAACATCAGGATCATAGATTATGCTTTCTTCACATCTCACATCTAACGAGGGGTTAAAAGTCTCTCACATGCAGTAACAGAGGGACCCCCCCCCCCCCTTATTGTTATTTGCAGGTCGGTCGAGCGGCTCGTTGGGCGTCTAACATGCTGCTGATTGTCCTGGAGAGCTGACAGGAGTGATGACGTGTGGCCAGACAGGAAGAACTCCCCGATAAGGCCTCCGGATGCATCCTGTACTGTGCCTGTCGTTTCATTCAGCCGGCATCGATCTGACATGCATAACCTCTTTCTTTGGGCACCAAGATTACACATTCTCATTCTAAAATACAGCTTAAAATTAAACCTGAACCCACAGAAATAATAACATGCAATTTCTGAATTACTTTAATACGCTGTACTGTACTATTTCTGGGACAAAGTCAGCGTGTGGCTTAAGTTATCAGGTAGCTAGATGAATTTCTTTATTAAACAAGAACTTTAAATGCATTGTCTAGCCGACTGCTAGGAGACACTCAGATTGTGAGGTACCACGGAGGTACCAAGACGAGGAACGTGTGGTGAATGAAGGAATCTTTTTCATGAAATTTTATTGCCCCATGAGATTGTGTGCTGCATTGTGTTCTGTGCATGCTAATCAGCTGTTCCACTTGACCTTATTATGTAGGAGTGCTTGTTTTCAGCTTTTTATCTACAACGTATTTTTAATTGATATTTTTACTTTAATAAGAAGAGGTAAAATCAAAAGGAGTAACATGACATGTTTTTTATCAGTGGTCTGTAAATTACTATTACTACTACTATTACTACTACTAATAATAATAATCAAAGATCACTACAATATACCAAGCTTACTTTGTGTGAAAGTTGCTCAGTTGCTGCACAAACTTAGCCTGCTTCAGCCATGTTCAGGGTCACCTGAAAACTCATGAGGCATCACGTTACATTTCAAAATCACCTGAAACATTAAACAGTCGCAGCACTGAACTCACCTCCACTTCCAGCCCATAGTCTTGCACAAGACGGATGTATGTAGTCGGGCTCCAGTCTTTGGCTCCCTCCAGCATCAGGCCCACGGTCTGGCTTGGCCCCCCTCCCAGATCGTGGGCCTTGACCGCCGCGTCAAGGGTCTCCGTAGCCATGGAGCGATAGGTGGTCCACTTCCCTCCTTAGATAAGATTTTCAGGTTATTCAAGGTGGAAGCCTTTCAGGCAGAAGCAATCAATCTGTTGCATTGTGATCATTACATAAACAAATTCAACTGGATCAAATTCTGATTGAATCTGAAAAGCCTGAAACCAACCATAATGTTATCATTTACATATATATGAGATGGTAGGAGAATACTCATCAAAACAATTGGAATAATTATAATTTCACAAATCTACTGTTGCAAAGGTAAAAAAAAAGAAAAGAAAATATACATAAATACCAGCAATCGTGACCAGCCCGCTGTCACTGATATTCACAATGTGGTTGCGGCAGATCGACTGGGTATCCTTGGAGTTGGGGTCCGTGACCAGAGGGCGGATTCCACTCCAGGCAGCCAAAACGTCTCCTCGTCTGACTGAGCGTGGACAAAGCAGAAACGGGGGGGTGACTGGTGCTCGTCGCTGGTCCCCGGGTTCTGGCCTGCCTGTCTTCTCTCTCAGGTTTGGAGAATTGACAGAAAATGAGCCTGTATCGCCAGCGGATCACAGCACCTGTTTGGTGCACCTTAATACCATGCTAAGGTGATGCCAGACGGTTCATCGAAAACAGTCCTCTGCATGAACAAATGAACAGGTGTTTTTTTATTAAAGAAACGAATAACGAATAATGAATAAAAAGTCGCTCTGATTTGGCCCATTCAGTTCTGCATTACCGTATTATTGTATTTGTCTGTATTATTATTTGTCAGGCTCCTAAGAAAGACCAACCACCATGTTTCTCACAAGCCTACAGGAGAGACCAACCACCATCATTATGACAATCATTGTGACAGAAGAGACAACCACTATGATTCTGACTGGCCTGCAGGAGAGATCAACCACCATGATTCTGACAAGCCTACAGAAGAGACAACCTCCATGATTCTGACAGGCCTACAGGAGAGGAGACCAACCACCATGACTGACAGGCCTACAGGAAAGACCAACCACCATGTTTCTCACAAGCCTACAGGAGAGACCAACCACCATCATTATGACAATCATTGCGACAGAAGAGACAACCACTATGATTCTGACTGGCCTACAGGAGAGACCAACCACCATGTTTCTGGTAGGCCTACTGGGGAGACCAAACATCATGAATCAGATAATAAGAGACTATCCATCATGCAGGACAGCCATGCAGGAGAGACCAACCACAATAAATCCAACAGGCTCACAGAGGAGACCAACCATCATGAACTTGACAGAAGAGACCATCCATTTGGGTACCAGACAGGGCTAAGTACTGGCAGAGGAATGCTAATGATATTCCGCTGTTTAGCTCTGCTCCTGGTCTGGCCTGGTGTTGGTGCCTCTGCTGGTCAGGCCACTTGGGAGCTCAATAAATGAGCTTTCAATGCTGATCCACTACCTGCGCTGGAGACTTTTTGTACTGCGGTGACATATAAGGAATTAATTATTAATAAGATGTTGTGTATTGATTGGAAAACTACCTGCCGCAGTAATGGGCTGGGTGATATTTCTGAATAAAACAATGACAAACTCATTATCAAAGGGCATTTTTAAAACATTTATGACAGGCGGAGTAGCTCTGGAACCTCCAAGCTGGCACGGGCAATAAACCACTCTCCGACGAAGACAACGCGTGTTTGTTTCCGCGACACGCAGGAAGCCATGCATTATACAAAACATCGCCCTCGCAGACACAATCTATATTAACCCTGGGACAAGTGGGTCAATGGCAGACATATTCTGGAATTCTGAAACATTAAACTCCAATAACCCAGGGTGAGGGATGCAAGCCAGACTTGTCGAGGTATTCAATATTTCTTAGGGAAACAAGACTTCAGCCCTTAGCTCTCTGAATCCAGTTTAAAATTCTTTCAGATTTAAATGTTACTTTAGTGACTGAACACAAATAAATAGAGTGGTAAATACGATTCTGACCGTCTCCCGGGAAATTTTTGCCATTGGGCACCGAGGTCTAACATCGGCCCATGGAGAGCGTAGGCTGGTCTGGCGTCTGGCGGGTGACTTACTTGGGGGGCACCGGGGTCTGTTCCGAGTGCAGGGAGTTTCCAGGGGAGGGAGAACAAAAACTGCTCAGTGGCATGCCAGAAGGGAGGGGTAGATATGCCCTCACCGTGGGAGGGCCGTCATGGTGCGATACAGAGCCACGTCTTACTGCAGAGACGCAGCATTCCGGGGGGTGGGGAAATAAAGATGGTCCACTCTGGGCCCACCAGGAGAGCGTCGACTCCAACGCCATGTAACAAATCACATCAGGAACCATCCCCCATAATCCCCTGCTCCATCTTCATCACGCGAGCAGCATCTGAGGCCTGATGCTGCTCCGCTCCCCAAACAGCCAAGGTCGTGAGGGGTCCGGTGATGACAGAGGCAACCGGCACTTACACTCCACCCACCCCCCACCCCCACCCGAGATCAGGAGCACAGAGCTTCATGGGGGCCTCTCCCAAACATGCATCAGACACAACGCCACTGCCTGGATCAGCTCCTGCCCAGGGCGTCTGGGTGTCTCCTAGCAGGTCACGACAAACACCTAAAGAACAACTAATCCTCTTTGATCTTTCTCTTTTGTTTTATAAAGACACGGAAGCCACAGGAGGGGGTGGTGAGCCGATATCAAGTTAATCGATCAAATAATCAAGTTCGTGCCCATTGCGAACTAAAAACAATTAGGTGGCGTCTGCGAAGAAATCGATAGCTGCGCGTCCTGTTCAGACACGCGGCTGTCATTCATTTAATAAAGTCTCTCTAGGCCACGCCGAACCCAGCCGTCTGTCTTGGAGGCTCGCCGAGCTCTCTGCCGATGGGCGATGACACCAGCGCCGGCGGGATCTCGCATGGAAGGCTAATCTAAAACAATAGGAGTCGATCCGGCATTCGTTATTATGATAATTATTTATTTTAATTCCCCGCCAATTTATAAACACTTATTCCCACAAGGTGGACCCAGACAAGAAAAAATCCATTTCTGACTATCAGTTGGGGTGGTGGAGAAAACAAACCGGAATGATATCCGGGGGAAATGTAGGATAACTACCTACAGGAAAGACCTCATAAAGTCGCTCTCAGAAATAACGGAACAGTCAGGCTGATGGCTCTTGTTTTAAGTCTGGCTCCCATACATAATTAAAGCAGAGATTTGTATCTGTCCACATTCTAGGGCCTGCAGATGGATTAATATCAGTGAGTAAGTCCACACTGGCATCAGATTAACTCATTTATTTCTGTCAGCTGCTTGCACTATCAGCTATTTGTAGATTGGAGAAAAAATATATATGTGAAACCAAAAGACTTATTTACTATCACAAACAGGTGTTATAAATTAGGCAACATTCATGTGTCAGTGTTATACCGCCTTTAGTAAACTAAAACTGTTCATTTTTCGTGTTCAAGCAAAATACATATTCTTTAGGTCATAAAAGGAACATTACTGTCAGGGTTCCTTCAGCTATGCAAAGAAATCCAGGTAATGTCCATTTCTTTGAAATATTCGAGGTCATCAATAATTATATGTTTTTTTATGGCATATAAAATGCAAAATTAGCCAGAATACCACTCATTAACAGAGATGGTAATTACACCGATTCATGAATGCTGCAGACATAAAATTAGCGATTAATGCAAAGGCTAATTGCTCTTTACTGCCGAAATGAATGGATCATTTAAGACATCCGTAAAACAACATATGTTTTTATCAGATTTGCATTCCTGTTAGCTGCACCGCCATTCACAGAGCGAGACCGCTGGGCATTTTTAGATCATTTTAAAGGATAAAAAATATTTGCAGATTCTTCAAGCGGCTTCTGATCTATATTCGTTTTGCCAGTTCTCCCTTTTGACAAGACCAGCTACTATGTACATAAGCAGTGGTACGAACAGGATGAGACGCAGAAATATTATATACATATATGTAAAGTTTCAATAGTGCGATTCCTCAAAATTCAATAAATATCACGTTATGGCTTTTTAATTTATTTAGCTATGGTTTCCCCTTTGTTGCCATTTATGGCTTATATTTCTCAAATCATAAAAGATAACTTTAGAAATTATATCCATTCTAATTAAATTGCTGTATGAAATACACTTATTTCCATGAAGATTAACATCCTATTCCACCCAGTATTATTAGGATATGGTATTACATCCGATATGGACATCCCAGTATTATTAGGATATGGTATTATTATACTAAAGATGCAAAGCCCGCGTTAAGCAAAAATGGATAGAGCCTCGAAACGGTTTTAGTAAATGATTTTTTTCTTCTCCGATACTTCATTTAATTCTCCGTTATGAATGTTTTATTTTGACTGCCACTTCATGCCGGTGGTTCCACATTTACCTTCCACGTCGGGGCTCAGATAGTTGCGGACCTCGGTGAGGATGAAGTTGATGTCCTCCTCCCTGGGAATGGGGTGGGCGGTGACGTCGGTGGGCGTGTCCGTCGTCCCAGCGATGGTCATTTTCTCCCAGGGCAGGAAGAAGATGACCCGGCCGTCGCTCGTGGCAGGGTCCAGTAGTCCCATGTTGTCTGGACTTGAAGGGGTTGGGAGGTGCGTGTGGGGGTGGGGGTGGTTGGGGGGGGGGGCGGTGACAAGAGCAAACAAGATGACTGGACTGCATTAACCTTTCCTCCGCTGGTGGGTGGGACTGGGGCGACTGGTACATTCTCCATAATCAGGCACCTGTCGCGCTCCGAGTGGGAGATTAATTCTGCGCCTGTCCTGCGGCTCCCACCATTACGTACAAATGGGCCCGGGTTTGAAACACACAGTCACAGAGTCGTTTAACATTTAATTCCAAGTCACATGACGGAAAGGGGGCGGTACCTATCCTATATTCAAAAATAACATGCATCAAAATGAAATCTGAACACACAGCAAAAAACCCCTTACTTGAGCAGGCTCACCCATTAAGAAAAAGAACATACACAGAGGTTCCTTCACATTAAGAAACACAGAATGAGCCCATGCATAGAAAAACTCGTGGTTCATACCATCCTTTCCACCCACTCCCTTAATTGGCTCACTGATTGCATTATTTGCTTCAATGAACCGACTTAGTCCTACTCCGGCTCTCATAGAGCCAGAAAAGCAAAACAAAACAGAAATAAATAAATAAAAAATACTGCCGCTCTCAACCCTAATTGCACGTGTTCATTCTTACCTCCACTTTTAGGGTAAATTAGTGGAGCTGATTATTATGGAGCTGTGTGTGTGTGTGTGTGTGTGTGTTTTTGGTGTTGTTGCGTTCTGTTTTGGGCGGACGTGCTAATGAGAGTCTTGCACCGTGCCGAACCCACGCTGGCGAGGGCTGCTCCCTACCTGTAATAGCCGGGGATGACGATGTGAACCCCGGCGCTGGGCTGACAGATGTTGGGGTTCTTCTGATCATCCATTTTCCTCACCGAGTCAGTAAAAGGTCCCGTGGCATTGATAACACATTTGGCTCTGACATCAAATTCCTGCCCTATGAAAGAAAACAGCATCAATCATGAGGCCCCATTCATCTGCGTCCACTGACAAGCCGGATTATTAATTTATCAGTGAACACATCCCCGCCCCCCCCCCCATAATAGAGTGGCTCTCCCGTCTGTGGGAGACTTCAGAGGAATGTAATTAATAGCAGGCGGATGCACCCTGTTTCTCCACTTCTCCTGCCTGTGTCAAAGAGCGCCCTGTGCCCCCCCTAGGTGGGGAAGCAGGGAGGGGTGGGGGCCTCATTTTAACGTCATGGGGACAGCAGTTGCTAATCTTCTGTGTGACGGTCACGGCTGGAGGAGGGTCTGATCTATCCTCTTTCCTTCATTCCTTGTTATTTCTTTCTTAAGGCAAACTATGGCAAAGAGGGACGGAACAGTAATCCTAATGGGCACAGATGATGGGGG